TTTCCTTTTTTTCAAGTGAGTCTCCAGATGTAGGGATGGACATTAGGAATTTTAAAAAGTCAAGCGAGAATGAAACTTTACTTAAAGCTACCAGATTAATAACATTTCTTTTCAAATGATGGTAACACTACTCTTGTGACTGCTCCATTTGTCATAGACAGTCATTCTATCTCTACTGATGTTTCTGTTACTAAGCTTTCTCATGCTGATGTTATGTCCCATCCTCCTGGCATAAAATTCGACCCAAAAGATCTGTCTCCAGTCGTTTCATTCTCTCTGCAGATTTGAACTTATAATCTATGGATATCTTTTCTTTCTTACCCTCCAATATGAATGTCCAGATATTGTCTGTGTATTGAAATCCAACAGTCTTATACAAAATGGGTTGGTTTTCAAACCTTATAATGCTTCACTTTCAGTCACACTCTGCAATAACATAGGCACTACTCATCTTGACAACAACACAGTACTACACAAGCTTAATGTCTCTAGGCACAAACAACAAACCCCTGCATGTCGTGTGCCTATGTTCTCTTGTGTAATCTTTGGTGTGGACACATCACTGACTGAAAAATAAATCATAATTGGGCTATCGAAGGATAGTATCTCAGTTCATAGGAACATCCACATCCAGAAGCCCGACATACATGATGTTGTGGATCACTTTCTTCTTATGCCACGATGCCTTCTTATTCCAGCAATATCAGCGAGTTGAAGCATCAAGAACTCTGCCATCTAATCACTGTTCTGTAACTGCTACATTACCCGTAACTTACATATTACACTCAAATATCAAATAAACTAACTTATTCACATTGTTGAGGCTCCCATCACACTTGTTTGTGTGATAAACTGTCTCTAACATCTGTCTACTAAACCATTTTAATTGTTCTTATGAATGTAAAGACAAACTTGCTCCTAAGATTACCCTTCCAGTGCAGCACCTATCAGCATCTTTTGACAATATGATTCCTATCAACAACTCTATGTCTCTGCCTCTAACAGTAAGGGATTTTTTACATTTTACAACTATCACATTGCATAATGTTCAGACTTATAAACGTGCTTTTGTCCTCAGTAAAATAATTTTTTCTGCTAAGTCTGTTATTAAACTCCATATTCTGGTTTAAACATTTATTTTCACTTTCGAAAGTTGTTGAACTTTGGATGGTCAGGTTAGCTGGAAATAGATTATTAATTAAAATAGAATTCTCGAACAAGACTATTAATATAATCAATCAATCCCGTAAACTGAAAAGTAGCCTCACAAGTAACGAGACACCAACAATTCAGAATACATCGACAAAATGAACGACATCCTTTCAGATAAAAAAGAAACTCAGAGCCACCCCAAACAACCCAACAAACACACACAAAAACCAACTAAATAGAACTTTATTAGAAATGAAAAAATATAATTTAATTACTGACAATCTTT